GGTCGCATTTTACAGCTTAGAGAGTCGCTACGTGGAGGAGGAGAGACACACAGCAGCACTCAGTGAATATTAACCAGCAGCTACTTCCATAGATGCTTATATAAAAGTTAGGAGACGGTTTGGTTAAAATAATTGGAGATGCCACCAAAAAATCTTTTAATTAGACATCCGGAGATTTTTCAGCTAAAAACTAAAACTAAAAAATCTTGGCTTGTCAGAGGATCATGACTCCCAGCTAAAGGTTAAAATGTTTCTTATTGAAGAGACAGAATCAGACTGCAGAGCTTCTACACATCTAGAAATGTTGTTTCTAGCATCAATATATTAGTAAAGAGGTTCATAAATCTTTTTAAACAGAGAGAAGTAGGGAGAGCTGCAGATTTAAAGGTGAAACAGATTTACTGGGATATGCAACACGTCCAAGTTTAGCAGAAAGTTTAAAAGAAAAAAAATGCAATATTTAAAATGCAGCATATCCAGATTTTTCTGGATGGAATTGAAATTGATCTTCTAGGCATGCATGATTTATCGATTTTGGCATCGGAATCGGCTGTTGTTAATTATTTATTTTATGCATTATTGTTTTTGGGCCCTATATGTGTAACGCACTAAAAGGCATCTCTCTAACATCTATAAATATAAATGTCAGTGTGTTGTGTTTCTGCTGTTTTCTCAACAATAGGAAACAATCAATAAATAGATGTTGGAGCTCATTTTAGGAAAACTAGCCTAATGAAAGTGTAACTGTACGTCCCACCCGAGTGTCCCCACAAACTTTCATCACAAAGTTGCGCCCTTGCAGTGAAGGTAGTCTGGACACCGGCGCCGTGCTTCCCCCCGCCTGCCTTACCCCCCCAAAAAAGTGTCCTCCTTTTCAGAAACCCAAATCTGGTCACCCTAACGTAGAGGAACCTGCTTAGATGTCTGCTGGAGCTGCGGGTTCCGACTTTAATGGCTTTCAGACGAAGTGGTTCCGTGTCAGAAAGGAGCAAAGATGGCGGCAGAGTTCAGAACGCTCTCTGATTCAGAAACTGACAAGTTTGGCGTAACCCAGAGAAACGGCCAGTCGGGTTCAGACCACTTCCTGCCTAAACTGTCTGTCACTGATCAGAACCTTTGAATCTACAGAAGAGTAATAGGCAGTCCATCCTGAGGTCCAGCCTTCGCTGTGGGACTGATCAGATCTAGATCAGCTAGAACCAGCTCCAACATCAGACTGCAGCCACTCTCTGCACCATCTGGAGCTGTGTGCGCCTCCACCTGACAGGGAAGGAGAGCCACTTACTTGCCGTGCAGTGTCCGGTGCTCGCTCTCTAGCGCCCTCTGCTTGCCTTTTAGCGCGGCGTGCTGGCTGATGAGCGTCTCGTACTCCTGAGCCTGCCTCTCGTGCACACTCAGCAGGCGCTCGTGGTCACTGAGCACGCTCTCACGGGCACGCCATGCCTCTTCACGTTGCCGCTGCCAGGACTCCACCTCTGCCTCTAGGGCAGTGACCTGGCCTTGCAGCACGGCATTCTGGGCCATGAGGGAGGCGCTCTGCGAGGAGACAGTGGAGTTCTCCACCTGTGGCGGACAGAGGAAGGTCAGATGGTTCTGATGAAGAGGAGGCCCTCAGAGAGGAGCAGACGGAGCAGCACCTGCAGCTTGGCCGTCTCTGTGTGCAGAGCAGAGTTCTGCTCCTGCAGGGTGGAGGCGTGTCGTTGCAGCGCCGCCATCTGGCTGTTGAGGGAAGAGTTCTGGTTCTCCATCTGTTTGAGCTGCTCCTTCAGTAAACTGCTCTCCGTCTGCAGAGAGGCGTTCTGCAGCAAACAGCAGCTTAGAGGCTTCGAAGCAGGCAGAGCGGCTGATGGAGGGAGGCTCAGGGTTCTACTTACGCTCTTCTCCACGGCGATGAGATGATCCTTCTGGCGCAGGAGTTCAGCTGTGGCCTTGAGTTCGCTGCTTGGTCCCTGCTGCTGCTGCTGAGGGTCACAAACAGACACAGCTTCAGCCACACGGAGCTACGGCGGTTAGAGGGACAAAGGATCTGGATCGAAGGGTGAGTGAGCCTACAGCGGTAAGCTGGCTGCGCAACGAAGCATTCAGAGCTCTGCTCTCCTCCAGCTTCTTCTCCAAGCTGAGGATTGTTTCCTCCTTCAGCTTTATCGTCTCATGGACCGTCTGCTCCAACCGAGACTCCAGCTGCCGGAACCTTCTGGAGGAATCAGAGAGAAGATGCTGAATGGATGGATGGATGGATGGATGGATGGATGGATGGATGGATGGATGGATGGATGGATGGATGGATGGATGGATGGATGNATGGATGGATGGATGGATGGATGGATGGATGGATGGATGGATGGATGGATGGATGGATGGATGGATGGATGGATGGATGGATGGATGAGGCCTCTGTCTGCAGCTACCTGTCCTCCAGCAGGTTCTCCTGGTTCTGCAGGTTCTGGCCGACCCGTTCCAGCTGCTGGTTCAGCTCCTCCAGCTGGACGTTCTGCTGCTGAACGTTGAGCTTCTCGGCCACCAGCTCCTGCAAACACATCCAGGAAGATCTCACACCTCTGCTGATGAACAGCAGACCTTTGGAAGCAGGAGCTGACAGAACCTTCATGTTCTGTTGCTGCTGCCTCCAAAGCTCCTCAGAGAGAACCTGCTCCTCAGGGAGAACCTGCTCCTCAGGGAGAACCTGCTCCTCGGGGAAAACCATCCTCACCTCCCTCAGCGTCGTCAGGGTCTCCTTGTCGATGGTGACCTGCTTCTGCAGCTCCTTGTTGTCTCGCTCCAGTTCCTTGGCTCTGACCGACGCCTCCTTCAGTCTCTCCAGCTCCTTCCTCAGGGCCGCCGCCTCCTTCATGGACTCGGAGGCGCGGCTCCATTTCTCCTCCAGCTCGGTCTCCTTGGCCTCCAGCAGGGTTCGGATCCTCAAGTTCTCCTTCTCCAGCTTCTTGCGGTTCTCCTCAGACTGCTCCAGATCCAGCTGGAGCTTCTTCCGCTCCTCCTCTCCCTCTTCTCTTCTCCTGCGCTCCTCTTTCAGCTCCTCCAGCTCCCGGCTCAGCTCCTCCTCCCTGCTTTGAGTCTTTCTGATCTTGGTGTCCAGCTCCTGCTTCTCCTCCCGGCTTCTCTCCAGCTCCTCCTTTAGGTGGCATTTCTCCTGGTTAAGGGCGGACAGGTTCTGCTCCAGCCGTTCTGCTCTCTTCCTCTCTCCCTGCGCCTCCTCCATGGCCGCCTCCAGCCTCCGCTGCGTTTCTTGCGCCTCTCTCTGCGCCTCCTCCAGCTCCTCCTGCAGTAAGGGCAGGCGGGCGGATGAGGAGCGCAGGCTTTCTACGGAACGACGGAGCTCCAGGTTCTCCTTTGACAGCAGCCCATTTTCTGCCTCCTGCTTAGCCAGCCGCTGCAGCTCCTTCTGGGCCTCCTCAGCCTCCCGCTTCAGTCTGAGCACCTCCTGCTCCAGGGAGGTCAGCTGCCTCTCCAGAGTTTGGGAGCGCTCACTGCAGAGACGAAGAGACGCCACCTGGAGGCCGAGCAGGAAGATTAAGAGGAGGCGTTCTGTCTCGGAACCCTGAGGAACCTGGACCTTCTGCTTACCTCCATGTTCAGAGCCTCCCTGCTCCTCTCCATACGGGTCAGCTCCCTCTCTGCCTCCTCGCAGCGTGCCGCGCGCTCCCTCAGCCTCTCCGCCTCCTCGCTCACCACCTTCAGCTGTGTTTCCAGACTGGCCATCCGGGAGCTGGTGTCAGTGATGCTCTGGTGGAGGAGGCGGTTCTGGGCCTCCACCTCACGGACGCGGGCCTCGCTGTTGGACTGAGCGCGCTCCTGCAGGAGGTGCACCGCCTCCGACAGGTGCTGCCTCTCGCTCTCCAGCTCGGAGATCTGTGGAGCAGAGAATCAGTGGGTCTAAGAGCCACAAAAGGAAGGAGGGACTGAGCGTTCTCCACCAAGCGTACCTGGCGATCCTTGTCAGCCCGCAGAGCGTGCATCTCTCGCTCAAGACCCTGTTTCTCCTTCAGAAGCTCCTCCCCCAGAGCCTCCATATCCTGATTGGTCAGTCGCTCCTGGTCCAGTAATGCTTGAAGACGCTCCACCTGGGAATGACAGAGACCAGAACCATCTAGGACAGTTCTGCTCCTGTTCCACTGGATCAAAGGTGTTCCTCCTCACCTTGCTGCTTAGACTCTGGTTCTCCCGCCCAAGTTCCTGTTTGTGGAGCTGCTGCTCCTGCAGGAGGTGGTTCTCCTCCTTCAGTACGTCCATCGACGCCTGCAGTTCCCGGTTCTCCTTCTCCAGCTTCAGGACTCGACTGGAAACGCACTCGTGGAGCTCGTGGACCAGAGATTTCCGACCTGCAGAGCAGAGAGGATAGCAGGTTGGAGAGGAACCGGTCAGAGGAGCAGGAGGAGCAGCAGGAGGTGCGCTCAGAGCCATACTGTCAGTGTTGGTGGTGCCGTCGTGATTCCTGGTGAGCTGCTCCAGCTCCCAGCCCAGATGGGCCGACTCGTTCATGCTTTGCTTCTGACCGATCTCCAGCAGCATGTTCTCCTCCACCAGCTCCTCCAGCCTCCGACGCTCGCCGTCCCGCTCCTGCAGAACACAGACAGGTTGGAGGAGCTTCTCCTCACGGTCCTCGGCTCTATTGACAGGCGGGAACATCAGAACCGGCCCCTAGGGACGGCTCAGGTCACCTGGACCGTTGCTAAAGACCATCTTACCATTTCCAGGTCGTGGATTTTGGCTCGCAGCAGCAGGTTGTCTTTCTCCAGCGTGTGCATCTTGTCACAGCGCCCCCTGGCGGCGGCCAGCTGCTCCTCCAGCAACACCTTGGTCTCCAGCAGCGTCGTGTTGTCCTCACGCAACTCCTGAACATCATAGATGGACATGATGGTTCTGAGGAGGTTCTACTGCAGGTGCAACCAATTAAAAATCAGCGGGTCCGAAAAAAGAAAATCGTCAACCAGGAAAGGTCCGGAGAGATTTTTAATGATTTGTTACTATTAACAGAATTTAACACTGAAATAAAATGAGCTGTTTATGCATCAATGTTATACACTGAATTTGTAAATAAAAAAAAGAAAAAAAAAACGGAAAATTTTTAAATCTAAAGTGTTTTTTATAGTAGAGAACAACAATTGTTCAGTTTGGTTTATAGACAATTTCCTGATTCCCATATTTTATCAAACCCCTGAACTAAGCGTTTGTTATTTTCTTCCTTTTCTTCTGTCTTAATGTTGGCAGTGGGCTTTAGGCTGTGCTGCAAGGCTTTAAACGTGGGTTTGAATGGAGACTAAGCCATTCTCAAGCACATATCAAGGAGCTCATTTTGTGCCTGGATCCATATTTATTTTTGGTTATGTTCCTGGTGGAGAATCCTGCTTCACAGCAGCAGGTTGAGCCAAACATCCTCTAAATGTTCAGGCTCCGCTCCGGTCTGGCCAGGTCCAGATCCGCTATTGCAATCGCACCAAACAGGAGACAGAACGGCGAGAAGATCCGGTTTGTCAAATTAAAATACAGTAACAACAGATCAGCAACTACAAATTAGAGCATAATTCTTCTATATTTCAAAAATCTAACACCGTTTATTTCAAAGATTGGATGCAAGCTATTGGTTCTTAAACAGACCAGGAAGCAGATTTCTCATCTCCATTAGAAACTGAACATCTGCTGGATGCTGATGGGGATTATTTTAATCTGTCATATTAAATTAAGCGTTAATTTCTGCATGTTTGCTCCTATGAATTTAATAATAATATGGCGCATGCTCTCCTCGAGCTCCGAGGATAAGTCGGAGCGCAGCGATATGGGAGGAACAACGGAGACTGTAGGCTTTGCTTTGAGCAGGAGGTCTGGAGCACTGTGCGGCGCTGTGGGGAGGAGATGGAGGATGTGGGATTTCTGGGTAACAGGAGAAGTGGCGCAAGTGACGTTAAGATACCGTCATCAGGCAAATGTTTTAAATCAGGTTGGGTCCAGGTTGGTTAGCCAGCAGGTGGATCCGGACCGCGGTCCTCTAATCTGTGACTTCTGGTCTACAGAGTCCTGAGCGGTTCTGAGGAGTTCTAAATAGTTTTATTTATATATATATATATATATATA